ATCTGGGGGGCACTAAGTTCTGGTTTTCCGAATCCAAATAGCTGGTAACTTAGAGCTGATTTTCTCATTATCGTTAAATAAATGGGCTGTTTAAAAACCTGTGAATTATCTGCTTAACTTATTGAAGTTTTGGAGTGGGAAAGTCACTAAAGAGACGGGATTCTATTCCTGTTTTTGCTAATGAAAGAAAAAAAAATGTATAAGTGGTTATTATGCTGAGAAATAAAAATTACTTTAGCTTAAAAAAAAAAAGAAAAAGAAAAAAAAAAMCACTCAGAAATCTTTGGCACTGCCCATGACTGCATGCAATAGCAGCTTCTACCTTTCCTTTAGAAGCAAGTATATCTTGTGCTTATTTTAATTTTTGTTATAAATGTCATTTTTATTTATTCTTGGAACTAAGGTTGCTAATTATAACTTTGTGGCAGAAAAATACAGAAATATCAAATAAAGAAGCACTCTAAAATCCACGTCAAAATCTGAGACAATGTTATTCAATTACATGAAATTGTGCCATCCAGTGGCAAAATTATCAAACACCAGATGGACTCACTGCCAGATTTGAAAATTAAATCATAACAATGCTAGATGCGGTGAATTAGTCTCTAAGTACAGCAACTTAATATATATCACATCAGAAAATTGATTTTTTCTTGTATTTTCTCAGCAGCAACATAATTTGCTCTGATATTGTCAAGGTGTGTCCTATACCTTTTTTAAAAAAAGGTTATCACCTTCCATATCCTTCCCTAGGTGCTGGAATCGCAGCATATTATAGAAGACCAAATGATATAACTGTAAGGCTGACACAATGCATGGAGAAGGCCAGGAAAATGATTCCAATGTCCAAGCACCAAGAGACACCTGTTTACATGGGAGCCAGCGCAGGCATGCGGTTGCTCAGGTATAGTAGGATGTGGAGTTCAGAGAGGCAGCACCAGAGCCCCTGAAATTATAAGAGATAACCACACTTCCGCACTCCAAATGCTACGCATCCTAAAGTCCACACCTAAGAAAGAAAATTTCAATAAGTGAGTAAAACTCCCTAAAGCATAGTATATATATATATATATTAAGATTTTGAGTATGTAAAGAAGCTTTGCATCAGCCATGTGGTATGTGCCTGAAATCCGAGCTACTAGGGATGCTGAGAGAGGATGTATGAGGTCATCCTGGGGAAAATTAAAGAGACCACTTCTCAAAAAAAGCCTTGCCCATTTGCCCATAGTAAACTCAAGTGGGAAGAGACACACAGAGAGAAAGACTGAGCCTATGTGCTCTGAGATTTGGAGACACAGAATTAGTTAATCAATATCTGGATGTAGGAAGACTAGAGGAGACCCACAGATGTCCCAAGACATTTATAACAAGCACATCTTTATTGGTCAACACTTGGTCACCTAGTTGCATTATTTGTGTACTTGTTCATTCATCGCTCATGAGTGCCTACTTTGTCCAGAACATGGATGAAGGTGACTCAGCCCCAAGGAAATAGTTCCACCCAGTGTGATCACTTCTTTTACAGAGGAATGCTCAGACTCCTATGGGAGCATTTGTCCTGCTCAGGATGAAAGGCCCTCAGAAAGACTTGTGCAAGGAGAAGATATATGAGCTGAGTCACAAAAGAGGACTTGTCGGGTGAGGGAATGGTGTTATAGACAAAGTGATAGCACATGTTCAGTAACCCACTGTTATTCAACACCTATTGTGTGTCAGGCACATTCTAAGAACTGTGATACGGCAATAATAAAGAGGCAGGGCAAGTCGCTGACTTGATGCAGTTGGTGTGGAGTTTGTTCTAGGATGGGCAGTGGTGGGACAATAGGGCATATTCACAGGTCTGTTAGTAGCTCTGCAAAGACAGGAGACAGGGTGCATGTTGTAAAATAATAATAGTAGAAGCTAATATTTATTGAGCACTTGYTGTATTCTTAGAAGTGCACTAAATTCGTGACACACATTGTTTGATTTAATCATCAAAACAACAGTATGAAGTAGAGGATATGATTAACTRTTACTAACCAGATAAGGAAGCTGTGGCTCACAAATGTTGAGTAACACCCAAAGTCCCAAGTCTGCCTGGTAAGGGACAGAGCCAGAGTTATGAGTGGGATTCAGAGAAGGCCTTGTGGACCACATGAAATTTAGAGTTTATCTTGAAGAMAGTGGAAACTCACTTAAAAAATTTACACAATTGGTGATGGTGGTAGAGAAGATAGATTGCAGTGGAAGGAAGCAAGGGTAAAGGAGGCAGGTAGTGGGTATGGGAGGCATTCAGATGAGAGGTTAGAGTTGGAAGGTACATCCTCTCACCAGGAGGCTCTCAGTGTTGCTTAGCCTAGCTCTTGGAAACCGGTGCATCTCATCTTCATTATGACAACCCTGGAAAGCTCCTTGCTTAGGTCTCAAGTTCTCAAATGGACCCAAGAACTGGAGATAGTATGAAGAAGGTATTTCCCAGTCTAGAAGCAGTAGAAGTTGGCTATGTCCCAGATGACTTGCCACCTGCTTTCTACTACAGTCCAAATTGAAAAYCTCAAGCACAGACTAACTTGTGTAATCAACTAAGAGTCACCATAATTGCTAATATCACAAACATCAGCTCTAGGCATGGAMAAAATACCCAACTACCACCACCACAGTCTTTCTAGAGCATTTGATTTTTTTGATCCAGGAAGCAAAAGAGCAAAAATGTTATTTTAGGAAGACCAACCTACTCAAGGATTGGAGAGATTTGAATTAAGTAAGTGGGGACAAAAAGATTAGCTCAGCCTCGTCCCAAAGGAGGGTTCCTCYATGAGCCATGTTTGGGGATCCCCATGTCTCCATTTATTCCAGCATATTTGGTTTGTTTCTTTGCAGCATTATGTGGAAAACATAGCTGGAATAAGTAGGTGTAATTATTAAGACCAAGATGATAACGCCACCTCTTCTTTGGTGTAGGATGGCAAGTGATCGAATGGCTGGCAAGGTCATGGCTGCAGTGATAAGGAACCTCAACAACTACCCCTTTAACTTCCATGGTGCCAAGATCATCACTGGCCAAGAGGAAGGTGCCTATAACTGGATTACTATCAACTATCTGCTTGGCCATTTCGTTCAGGTGATCACCTTACACCACCCATGGAAATGGCTCCCTGGGGGTCCTTGACCTTGTTCTCTCAGGCAATATTTCATCCAGAGTGAGTGATGGATGAAAAAGTGCCATGAATTTATTYCCATGTTTGTAAGAATTACTGGAGGAATAGCTGCCTGTCAAGAACTTCCTTAGGGAAGTCTTCATCTCTGGTAGACAGAGGAAAAGAAAGTCTATCATTAAAAGTAAGAGCAGTTAGTACTTGCCTAGGCTGATTGCTGTGTGCTGTGCTAGCACTTACCTGAGCTGAGAGAATTCATCCTCAAACGACAGTCTGAGGTCTTTACAAGACTCCTTGC